GGGGGGGTTGTCGTGCACACCTCTCTCTGCTGCTGAAATATCCCCCCCCTCCCCATCACTCCTGTGCATCCCTTCCCGCGTGCGGTCGGCGAAGCTGGTGTGTGCTCATGACCCCAAAGATCGGGAGCCCTTTCGCTGCCAAAGCTCTTATTTTTACTGCACTTGGTTGGAGATTTATGAATTGAGTCATGTTGTATTCATTTCACGCTCTTAAAATAAAGACTCTGCATATAGCAGGCTGATCTGATTTGTGACACTGAACGCTCCCCTTCAATACTGACATTTTGACAATATAAGAAGGGGAAAAAAAACATATCTCTGATCTGATCTTGCAAACAAAGCAATCGTGGGAGGCAGGATCAAGTCATTCCAGAAGATTCTGCATTTGTCATATTGCAGAGAGGCTAGACTGGGTGGAGGGAGGGAGGGGGTGCTTTAAAGGGGAAAACTGTTCTTTATGTTTGTCTTCTTAGTCAGGTCTGAACCTTTGCGAGGAGCTGGGGTGTCCTCCCTGGCTGATGAAAAGTGAATGCTGATCTAGGAATGTCGCAGTCTGCCGTGGGTGCAGCTCTGTTTGCCCATATTGCACCATTTTGTCAATAACCTTGCATTTATCAAACAGACAAAACTGTCACAGCCCAGGAACTGGGAGGGAGGAGATGTCTTATCAAGAAATGAAATATGGATAATCAGAACAAGATATTATCATATTAAACCAACCGGGCTATTCCTCTGCTGCACTATGGCTTTTATACCATTTTCTGATAACGGCATCTATTCATTTGAAAGCAAAGCCTGCTGTGTGAGCAGATCCTACAGCTCATTTCCTACGGATAATACAGCCGCTGTGACAAAGCCAACAGGGATATGCCTGGGATACACAGCCGTGTTGCAGTATTCCCGTCGGGCACATTTCCCTAGCCTGCTTACCCAGGGTCAGTGTTTAAACCAAAGGTGTTATTAGAGATTATATACACGTTTGGTTTTTTTTTTCTTTTTAGTCCTTACTGGCCCTGGTGAAACAGTAACCCGGGCTAATGCTGCTTATCAGTTGCCGTGTAGTTTGGCCGTAAGAAAATGATTCACAGTGGGAGTGCTGACGCCTCCCGCCACAGCAAACAAAAGGCAGAGCTTTGTTCTTCCTTTTTCTGCGCGGCGCTGCCCAAAAACTCTGGGGCGGTGGGTCCGGCGGGTGATGGGCATGTCACACTCGGTTATCCCTGTCACCCCTCCTGTGTGCCGCCCATCCCCCAGCTCCGGTTGTGGGGGGAGGCTGATGACCTCGCACTCATTTCCGTAGCAACGCCTAGTGATGTCATATGCGATGGTCCAAGCTGCAATGCACCCAGGTGGTAGCAGAGAGCATGCAGGCTGCGTCTGCCTAAGGTGATGCAGAAGCATTCCCCGTGGTCGTCGCCGTTTTGTCTCCTGCCCTCTAAAGCTGGCTGTCCTCTTGCTTCCTTGCCACTGTGCTGAGAAATGCCGGATGGCTTTTTCTTTAAAGCCTGGCATCGTTAATGATGTGTATAAAAGGGGTTCATTTTTCTGCAGCTTGATCTCACCGTTGCCTTTTGGTGGTCGCCTCCTGGGGGGTGACATGGCAGCCGGGCATGTTGTTTGACGAGTCTCAGCCCTGCCTGCTCGGGAGCCTGTGCTAAAGGGATATTTAATGGTTTAAAATGGAAATGGTATACTGGGGCTCTTGCTGTTTGCTGATTCACCCAGTGCTGCTTGCCTCAGCGATGTACTGGATCACAATTGCTTCTTCCAAATTTTTTTTTAATATATATAATAAGCTCTAGCTCCTTCCTTGCTGCAAATGCCAGCCGTCAGTGCCCCTAATTGGTATGGGCAGTCGCATTGCTGCTGCAGGAGCAGGACTGTTCTTGTGGCCCCCAAATATGACAGATTTAATGGGGAGTCTCAGCAAAACACAGCAGACGGTCCCCTCATGGCCAGAGGGAGCAGAAGGTGATGCTGCACTCAGGAACGGTGATGGAGCTGGGCCCATCGGTCCAGGGTACAGCTGCCTGACCTTGGTCATGTCCTTTGTCACCTCAGCGCTGTCTGGGGGCACAGTCAGCCCTGGAATGTGTTGGAAAGCAGGAAAGCTCCCCTCTGGTCCCCAGGGTGATGGCTGTGCCTTGCTGGCCTTGGGTTTGCCATCCCAGCTGGTGCTGTGCCCAAGCAGCAGCAGCACCAGCGGTTCCCTTCCTGGCCCCCTGGGGTTTTGCTGCCCGCAGTGCCCGTGGTTGAAGCAAGCTGCCTTTTTGTCTGGTTCAGCTCTACGAAGGGTTTGCTGCCCGGCCCAGCGCCAGGGCTGTGGATCGATATCCATTAGCCGGGGAGCAGCGATGCTGCTGGAGGCTCTTTGGAGGTGGAACCTTGCCAAGCTCCCCGGTGGGTGCTGCCTGGGGAGCAGAGCACGTGCCTCCCTAAAGACCTTTTGGGGTGGGGGGCACACACAAGTGAACAAGAGAGACGATTGCAATAATGTTTATAGGAAATAAGTTGCCTAAAAAGGGTTGGGAAGGATTATTACATTGCACCTACATACCGTGTAGGTATGGGATCATATGGCAGAGTCCTTGAGCCCACCTGAAGGTCCCCTGTGAGGGGAACACCTGGCTACTTGACTTTGGGGACCCAACCTCTTCAGCAGGGCCGTGGCTGTGCTGTATGTGAGGACCATCCGCTGCAATGGTGGTGGGTGTGGAGGAGCGAATGCTGGAGATGCTGAAAAGCAGATGGCTGCTGCCCAAGCTTTAGACACAACTGGCTCTTGGTGCAGTAAATGGCCGTTGTGGGTGGAGGAGGAGAGCGAGCGTGGGGAACCGCAGGCCTTCCCTGGCACGGGGTATGTGGGCTTATGCCGTGTTGCTCACCAGCCTGGCAGGCTATCATCCTCCACATCCAGTGGCCAGGTTGGTGCAGATAGCGGGGCTTCACAAAGATAGCAGGCTCGCCTTTGGAAAGGGGGGGGGGAGTAACACAAATCCTTCCTATCTGGAGAGTCCCAGGAGAGCGGAGCAAGGATGATTAGCTGTTTTCAGCTTCGCAGCGTAGACAAGACAAAAGGGTGAGGTGGAAAGGCTTCTCCAGGAGGAGTGCTGGGCAGGCCATCTGCGATGGTAGGAAGGGAGCAAGGATTGTGGTGAGTTGCTGTAGTAGCACTTCCCAGGGGGGCCAGGGAAGGCTTTGGAGAAACCGTTTCCAGTGGAGAGAGGGT